TTTTTCCTTACTTTACCCATGATCCAGAAGAAATTTGATAGTCAGCCTGCTTACAAGGCGGGGTCGTCAGATTCAGATAAGCAACAATTGTTGATTTCTTGAGGCAGACTGTTTTTTTCTTGTCAGCCTTGAGTCCTGCTGGTACTTTTGATCCAAAATGGAGAGATTTGTGGGCATTCCACTGATTTGTGCTATAAGCCTCCTCCAAGGTCGTCTCCAACATGTTGACGAGTCCTAGAAGCTGCAGGTGACCTGCGATTCTCACAAATCGCATCCATCTTACGGTTTAGTTCGTAAATCAGCTGACTTTGATTACTCGTAGCATTAACCAAACCTTCAAGGCAGGCAGTCTGACAAGGGCCAAATTAGCTGCAGCTGTCTTCTTTGTATGCTGATAAACCAGAAACCAGCTGATTCCATAAATCAGGAAACTTGTTAACATAAATCCAATTATATATGTCTTCAGCATCCTCCTGAGACAAAGCAGAAAGACACATCAGCTCCCACATCCATGACATATCATACAGCGTGAGCCTCAGCAGGACCTGAGGGCTCTTCAGGACCCTGTCACTTTGTTGAAAAGATTTGTTGATTGCATTGAAAGTCCATTTCATCAGACCCATAATAGTATTTTTTGTTCGTAAGATGTGTAACAGGAGCTCTGAGGCACAGAGAGCAAAAAAGCAGGAGGAAGAGGAGAAAAGGAGAGGGAGATAAAATGCATCCGCCTTGTGCGAGAGCGAGTGCAGAATCAAAAAGCTGCCAAAATGAAGTTTCAAGCTTTTATAATGAGAGTGCTACCTTAATGTGCTAATAACCTTAATAACTTAATGTTACAACTTTACAATAAGGTTCCCCTTATAGATGGCTAATACATAATTTAAAGATGTGTTATTAATTCCTCTATAAATATTTTATAAATCATTAATAATTATTTATTATGCATTAGTTAATGGTGACAGAGACAAAATTGACCAGGTTCTTGCCAAAAAGTGAGCCAAATCTGTTCGCCTACATATTTCATCTAGAGTTGTTATATTAAACATTTCAGACTATGTTACTACCTTGTGAGCACAATAAGCATTTGTAAACCTATTTTTTTAGGACATAATATTAGTTGTCAGTACTTATAATGCAGTGATAAAGTACAATATTAAATGCTATAGAGGCGTCCATCCATCCATCCATCCATCCATCCATCCATCCATCCATCCATG